GAAAAATAATAAATTTGTGTTGTTTTAAGCCACTTAATTTGTGATAATTTGCTAGATCAGTTAAGAAAACCAGTAGGATGTGAAGACTAATGTAATATGTCAGTATAAAGTATCTTGATTGCCTGAAAGGAATAGTAGAAATTATTTGATTTATTTATGATTTATTGTAAGATACTTTTTTTGAGAACTAGAGACTTTTTAAGTTCACTTCTTTCTTAGAATATATTCATTATTAGAATATATTCACTTCTTTCTTAGAATATATTCACTTTTGATGTTGAAGATTTCAAGTGTGAGTTCCTTAACCAAATCAACTTCATTAGGCTCAAACCCTAACCAGTCCTTTCTGGAAAACTACCCTCACATCCTCAGCGTTTATCTTGGCTAATGGCACCACTGTTTCCTAGTTGCTGGGGTATAGAATCACTTTCTGAGCTCAGTTGTGCTGCTTTCATTATAGTTCTCAAGCTCAGTTCTTATTTTCTATTTCCACTGTCCTGACCTAATTGTTCATCTCTCACCTGAATTATGATAGCCTGGTCTCTTAGCTTCACCTCTCCTCATTCTGGTTCATTCCATTCTCTGGAACCAGAAAAAAGCATCTTCAAGTGTATCTTCCATCCTGCAATTCTCTAGTCCTACTTTGACTTTCTATTTCCTAAAGACTCAGATTTAAATTTTTTTAGTCCAAATATTTTTTTTTCTTTTGCCACAAGTGCTTTAATTCTATGCAGGTTGAATATCTTATACTAACAAAATGTTGACAGCATTTCAGATTGTGTGATTTTATATCTGAAAGAGTCAATTTCTTAGTAAAAACAAAATCCAAAGACCTATAGATTTGCTGAATTTTCCCAATACCTGATATTTTGAAGATGTTTTATTGCCGCAGTCCGGCTACAGCAAAATTACCGGGGGGGGGGGTGGGGGGGGGTGGTGACGAACAACTTGTGTAGATTGATACAGCAGGAGTGGAAGCCATTTATTGTAGGACAACAAAGATATTTATACATTCCACACAGCTTATCTTAATTAGCATAAACTAGATACATCAGTCAACCAATAAGAAATCTCCACACTTAATGGCTGGCTGGTGTTACTTCACAAACCACTCCCTCTGGCATTTTGTCAGGCGCCATCCAGACTTGTTTACAGACTCTAACATTTCTCTGGCAAAATGCCAGGTGCCATCCTGACTTGTTTACAGACTCTAACATTTTATAGATGACTTCTCTTGAGGTTTTTGCTGATTTTGGTTCTGGGGATCAAACCCAGGGCCTCACATATTACAAGTCTAAGAATTCTGATTTTATTGAAACTTTTTGTGGATGTGATTACATTTGACATGTGAATTAATCCATTAGCCATGCATTTTGATAAGTGCAATTATATTTTTCCCAGGTAAGAATTACTTTTACTAATATTTTCCTGAAGGGAACCATGATTGACTCAGTGAGAACAGAATGCTATGATAACAATCAAAAACAAAACCCAACGGAAATATCTCTATTTGGCCTTTCCCACTGATAAATGTATTTATAAAATTCTAATGCATTTTTAAACAGTGGGCTTTCTTTCTAATATAAAAATACATGTGTGTATGCATGCACACACATAGCAACATCTACTGACTTCCTCATTAATTGTGGTTTAGTTAATCAGACAGATGAATCATGAGAGCCATGACAAGTTTTTTAAGTTCAGTTCTTTCTTAGAAGATATTCATTTCACTTTCGATGTTGAGGTCTGCTGTTGAGAATGAAATATTAAGTATTTCTTTGCAACCTTTAAAACCTGATCTTTATCATGAACTCAAACTTGAACTTGAAGAGAACCCTTAAGCTAACAGAAATACAACCTTTCAGGTTTAAAATGAAATTAAACATTAAAATGGATAATTTGCTTAAAAAAGGAATCCATCACAAAGCCTGCTCTCCACCTCAACCTAGGTTGATCATCCAAACTCTGGCTCTTTCACTCCCTGCTTCCAAACCTGCTCCTTCTAGAAGCTGTCTCCAGCTCAGTAGGTGGCAACTCCATCTCCATGCTTCCAGTGTCTCAGATCTAAGGTTGGCAAACTATAGCCTGCTGCCAATTCTGGCTTGCCATCTATTTTTGTATGACTGGCAAGCTAAGAATGGCTTTTATTTTTTGTTTATTTTCTACATCCCCCACTAGGTTGTAAGATCTGTCAGTGCAGAGATCTTTACTCCTTAGACATATAATACACTCCCCTAAAAAAAAAAAAGAAAAGAAAGAATAAAAATCATCTTTAAGCTCATCACCCAGAAAAAAAATAATACACTCCCCTAAATATTCATTGTACAAATAGGACAAGAGGATGCCACCCATCCTCAGACTGATTTACCCCTTCAGAAACACCCATGTGTTACTGTGTGTGTTCCCTGAACTAGGACATTATAAGGTGTCACTAGAACAATTTGGTTTGGGTCCAAGGCACCTGGAAGGCTAGTGGTAGCCCAGATACCTCTTGGCCCAGTGGACAAAGTTCTTGAATGAGTTCTGCATACTTTTTTTAGTCTGACATTGTAAGTACTCCCAGATCCCACTTTTGTTTTAGAAGTATTTCCTGATTGCACTGGACACCAACTGTTTCCATGAAAAGATTAACTTTCAGCAGGGAGCTCACTCAGGGAGGTTGTTTTTCCCAATGTCTGTGTTCAGAATTTTCTTGTTTTTTTCTTTCTTTACTCCTCTCTATCTTCCCTTCCTTCTTCTCTTTCCTTCTCCCCCCTCCCTGTGTCTTCCCTCATTGATAAGAGGATATAAAACATTCAATCAAGTTCCTTCCTTCCTTTCTTCCTCTTATGCGTTTTTTTATTTATTCTCTTTCCCTTCCTTCCTCCTCTCTTCCTTCTTTCCTCCCCTCTTCCTCTCTCTCTCTTTTTTTCTTTCTCTTCCTACAAAAACAATTCAGGATTTATCATAAATTTTAGCTGGATTATTAGTATACAATCTTGAAATCCTTTAAATATTAAAATATATATACCTCTTTCATCTCCATATATGTTTTTGGGGAAAGTTGGCCATATATAATATGTAATATTCTCTCAATTGGTGTGTAAGAATATGTTAGTGTTCTCATTTTGAGTTGACTCATTGGTCTTTCTAGCCATTTGAATGGACACTGTAATGCCAGATTCATGGGACCCCCAATAGACATCCAGGAGCCAAATCCGATGCAATCACACAAGAGTCTTTATTGCAAGCTCGAGCCTGGACTCACTGTTTCAGACACAGGAGTCCTGAGGAGTGAGTCCTGACCCTTAGTTCAGTGAGGATTTATAGGTTTTTTGGGGATACTCTGTGCATCACAACATCACACAGCAAATCATTTCATACCACAGGAAAATCAAACAAGAATTCTTAACATTGATTAGCACGTTCACTGGTGGGAACGAGTTGGGTAAGGGTGATTGGTTCGTTCAAGTGGTGGATACATTTGAACTGATTGATTTAGGTGTGAGGGGTGTATGCGCTAAACTTGCAGGGTTACCTAATCATGTTATTAATCACCAAAACTAATGGGAGGGTCACCTGACATTTGAGATATTTTCCCTGTCCCATTCTGATTGGTTGTTGCTATGGTTCGACATTAGGTTTTTGGTCTTGCATTGCTGAGTCAAGGCTATTTGTTCACTACAGTTAGAGGTATCTGGTTCCACAGGCCTTTCCTGGAATTTAGGAACGCTTGGTCATCCCCCTCCCCCTTTGGACAGGCCTTGCTCTGAGGTAGAGACTGGTTTCTTCAAAAATGGGGTCACATTCGTTTCTCAACACCAGAGGGGATTATATCAGAATCTACCAATTGACAAAATATTATTTGTATTCCTAATCTCTTGGTACATATGTTGAACAGTGTGGTAGGTGGTATGTTCATAATTTTATTTGAAACTGTTCTAGAACTAATTTATGTTTTTAACCTGTGTTGTCCCATTTGGCAAAAGTTCCACAGGTTCATTGATTATATAAAAACACAGAGAACTTGTTCCTTTTATCTTAAAATTGCATACTTCAAGTTTCAAATGGCATTTCATGGTTAAATATTCCAAAATATGTTGAATGGTTTAGTGGAGATACTATAATTTTATGACTAGTCATGTTATCTTTGAGTATTCATTTTTGCTACTATAATATATATGACAAAATGTCAACTTTGTTTAGAATTTCAGTTTGCAAGGTGTTTCTTTTATGGACATATTTATCATTCACTATTTTCACTTGGTCTTTTGAGAGTGAAGTATGAATTGCTTAGTGACTCTCCTCCCCATCCTCACAGTATTCCCATGTAGAGCATACAAGGAGTCTAGACCCATAAAACTGCCTACCTACTTACCTTTTGGCAGGCACTTTCATGATGTTAACAATCAATTAGTGAAATCTGCCTCATAGTTAAAATCTGGTTGTGCCTTTTGTCAGAGAGGCATTTTGCAGGACTTGGCAATATGAATCTTAGGTGTTAGCATTAGAGGTAAAAAGCATCTTTGAGAATACTCTTATTTTTAATCATGAAATCAGTTATATGTAAGGGTGAGCATATATATATATATATATATATATATATATATATAATTTTAAAAATAACAATAAGACAGATATCTGTGTGCTTTCATGAGATTAAGAAATGAGGCATTGAGGGCATGGTGGTGCATGCCTATAACTGCAGCTACTCAGGAGTCTGAGGCAGGAAGACCACAAGTTTGAAGACAGCCTGGCAATTTACATTAGACTATATCAAAATAAAAAGTAGTGGGAATGTAGCTTACTGGTAGAGCACTTGCTTAGCATGTGTAAGTCTCTGGGTTCAAACCCCAGTACTGAAAATGAGAAAGGAAGGGAGGAAGGAAGGAAAACATTGCCAAAAACAGAGAATCCCAATGTGTACCCCTACTTAGTGATATCCCCTTCACTCCTCCCAGATGTAACCACTTTCCTGACTCTTGATTCAGTCATTCTTATTATTTTCTTTATATTTTCAGCTACTTATATGTTCCCTTCATTTACTGAAGATGAGTGGCAAGCATAAAGCTAGGTATGTAAGGTAAGGACCATGTTACCACCACTAATAAAAGTCTTCCAAGAAAAAATAAGCGAACAAAGTCTCTGGATCAGGGACAGAAAGAGAGAGAGAGAGTGGAACATTGATATCAAGGAATCAGCTCACCTGACTGTGGGGACTGGTATGTCCAAACTCCAAAGGACAGAGAATGAGGTGGCAATGGAGACCAGTAGGCTGAAACCGCAGGCTAATGCTGCTGTCATAAGACAGAATTTCTTATCTGATAAGTTCAACTTTTAAAGTCCTCCAGTGACTAAATGAGGTCCACTCACATAATAATTGATAATTTTTAAAGTCAACTGATTATAGTTGTTACCACATCTATAAAATATCATCATAGCAACACCCTAGATTTGTGTTTGATTAAATAACTGACTGTTGTAGCTTAACCAAGTTGATACAAACAGCCTTCACAGAGGGGAAGATAAAAGTAGGAGCCTCAGGAATCAGACTTAAGGCAAAGCAGAAAGAATGTCACAAGTACAGATAGTCGAGAAGCCCATAAGAACTTAAAGCATATGACAGATGACTAGATAAAAACCATAGGTCCTGGGGGTTCCCTAATTTTGAAGCAAATTTTGATATAGGCTTGATCATTCTTTTATAAAATCAGTATGACACAACAATAAGACTCTCTGAAGTGGTATCTCACTTCTGAAATATCACCAAAAGGAAATCTTGCACAGATGACCAAGCCCCTTGGGTGAACTTACCTGTAATATATGCAAGTTTGATTAGCATAGAGTGAATGTTTGCCTAAGAGAATTTTAAAATGCACTATTTAAGGCAAAGTATTTAGACTGACCTTTACTGCATAAAATATCACTTGGAGGGATATTTTTAAAAATTCTGAAGCCTTAGCAAAACTATGGAAAGTTCTAATTTTACCCAAAGAGCCTGGGCTTCAGAATTAGAAAACAAACAAACAACAACAACAACGGCAACAAAAATCCTATCTCTGAATACTAATAAGCTATCCAGTGTGGAGAACTTTATGCTAACAGTATTCCAATATATTTTTGTTTGTTTAACCTGACAATTCACTAGGGTCCCTGGAAAAAAAGTGTTCAAGACCCTGGATTTGATGATTTCTGTGGAATCTTATAGTTCTCAAACAATTCCTTTGTTTCAGCAACTAATGCCAGTGCTTCTGCTGAGTAGGCTTGTTGGTAGAGTTGGAAGTGATGGGCAGGTTGGACTATAAGAGTGATAGAAAGTATCACAACCCTCAAAGCCATACAAGGAAACCTGGCTCTTATGCTGCAGATTTTTTCCTAAGGGAGTTACTTCAATAACAGAAAAAGAGGATTTAGATGTTTTCCAGAATGTCCTTAACATTTATGAAGCATTATACAATAGACAAATAAATTTGTTTATTTTCACTGCTTTTGGGGTTGGAAAAAGTTTACTTAGTGTTTTCCAAAGGATATACTGCAGCATATGGGAATTTTATAATCTTTACATTTGAGAAGTGTTCTCAAGGTTTATTTGACCAAGGCAGTTATCATGGGATCAATGTTCCATGGTACCACACTGAAAATCACTGGCTTAGGGTCACTGAAAATAGAAGAGTTTAGTGCTCACTATTAACTAAAACTTTTTGGCATCCTGCTATTAATTTAGCTCCTTACATCATAAACCTGTAACCTCATCTCAGCACATAGTACATGTATTAAGATGCCCTGGTCTATATTAATAAGAAAATAAGTTTAGTTAATTAGTGAAAAATATCTTAGATTTAGGGAGTTAGAAGATGGGTTTAATTTGTAATTCTGGCATTTACTAAATATGTGACTTTGGACAAATAAGTCACATAATTTAAATAATGAGAGCCTTAATTTACTCATCTAAGAAATAGGAATAAAATGACTAGAAGGAATATTGTCAAGTTTAATGTGAGATAATGTGTTTCAAAATGTGTCTTCAATTTTGAGCCCTATAAAATATGAGACATAATTTTCAAAGAATTAAGCAGTTTATATTGGTTCAGTATAAATTCAGAATTACTACTATAGTCAAAACCATATTTTTAATGTTAGTTTTTGACTGTGTAGCATGAAGTATATATAAAATGTAGAAACTACCTGTAACAAGAGTTGTTTGGAGTTATTTTTAAGGAAAATAAATGATAAGCTTGTATTCAAATTTGATTATTATATCATTCTCATTACATAGATCTTGATTAGCATTTACTATGAATTATAAGGAGAAAAAGGACAGTTGTAAACAATGTCCTAGTAACAGACTTGAACCTTTTGGCACTACAATTACTACAATATTTTTATCCTCTCTAGATTACGCAATCAATAAAGAGCTGAGCTCTTTAAAAGTCAGGCACAGCTATGTAACTCAGTGTGGTTTCTCTTTACAGACTAGAGGAAAGAAGGAACACCACTCTCTTCTGGCCAAACAGGTTTATGCAGAGTCTGGAACAATGGATTCTATGCTAACTTTAGCAACGGAAGAGCCTGCTAAGAAGAACACTGTCAAGAAATACAAAATAATTTGTATCGTAAGTACAGTTCTTAATTTTAGCTTTCTAGCTTTATGACAAATGCTAAAATTCAGCTTGATTCCTATGACAACTCCAATGCAAGTTAACATTTGTAATCATATTCTACAAGTAAGAAATTTGAGTAACCATAGGTTAATGTTTAATTAAAAGTTGGCTTCCCAACAGAAACCTTGCAGCACTGACTTTTTCGCATGATTACAATTACCCCCCAAGTCACTTGTTTATTGCATGAACATTTTAAGGCCAGAGGCTGAGATACTAAATAATCATACCTTTTTTTTAAACTATTGATTTTATCCTAATTTAATTAAATTCTAGAGAGAGTCTTTTTTTTTTTTTTTTGTCTGTCTTCTCATTCTTGTCTTTTTATGTGGCAGGATCACCTTTGTCTTAATGAATAAAATAAAAAGCTCTGATTTTATTGCTCTGTTTTTTCCCTTCACCATCAAACTTTTGGGGAAACAGGTCTTCTATTTGCTGCCTCAGTTTCAACACCACCCCACTGTCCCTTGAGTTCTTGCTTTGTTATTATTGTGTGGAAATCTGTCCCCCATCAACAGTCAATTCTTCCCCTGCCAAGTTAAGTTTCCATAACAACACATGTGCTGAATCCTGGAGTGCCTTACTAGAAATGATTTCCACGATGCCTAGTTAAAACAAAATGAAGCCAGGTGTGGTGGTGTGTGCCTATAGTCCCAGCTATTTGGGAGGCTGAGGTAGGAGGATTGCTAGAAGCCATGAGTTGAGAGCATCCTGGGCAACATAGTGAGACCCCCCACTGGAATTAATAAAATTAAAAAAAAAAAACACACAAGAAAAAAGAAAAATGGCAAAGGCAAAAGGATCTTATGGTTTTAATTCTCAATTAATTTAATTTGGGGTTAAGCTCATTTTATTTGAACTATGAAAGTGTTTGGACATGGAGATATACAATAAATGGTATTTTAAAACTCTTTACAAATCTTTCCTATTTGGGGTGATTAAACAAATAATGTACCTCTATCATTATTGGATCTCAAATGTTGTGGGTACTTAATATTCACTGTGACTGTGGTTATTTATAACTTCGTATATTTAAAAAAAATTATAAAGGTGACTTTTCCTTTTTTGTAATAGGTTCTTCTTGCTTTGTTGGTGATCCTGTCACTTGGATTAGGCCTGGGACTTGGACTCAGGGCACAAGACAATGAAGGTATACCAGTCAGCCTTTTGTTCTCTTTTTCCCCAAAACATTCTCTTATTTCTTGTTTCTCCTGGCCTTAATCCATTAAAAACTTGTCTTCACCCAAGTTTCTTCTCTCCTCTATGCCTAGTTTTCCTTCCAGTCCTTTCCCTTCTCACACCTCACTCCCCAGAAACCCCCATCTGTGTTTAACATTGTCCACTATCATTTCTGGACTTTATTCTTCTGTCCTCACACAAAAGCTCCTGCACAAGTATTATTCCAGTACAGAGAACTTTGATAATTGACCACAGACTTTCTGTTCTACTCCTACTGTAGTTGTATATATCTGATGACAAAATGTACAGCCTCTTGGACTTGGAAGCCTTTGCTGTCCTACCTCTAGGACCTCCTGCCACCTGTCCTGTACCTTGATACCATATTAATATTATTCCATCTCTGAAATCTTATTATATCTTGGTTAGGCAGTGCCAAATCTTGAAAAGTGGTGTATAATGCTCTGTTTCACCATAGTATTTGCAGATTTTATGCTAATTTTTCTTTTTGCAAAAAAGTGGGGTGTGACCATTATGTAAAGCTTTTTTTTTTCTGAAATTTCTCTTTTCATTGTTCCCCTATTACTTAGAAATTATTTATTACTAAGCTGTCTTTGGTTCAAGGTTAGGATGAATGGGATACTTATGAATGTATGTTAATGTGGTAGTGACAATTATGTGATGAAATATAGTAAAACTTTGAAAATTTTGTTTCATAAGAAGCAAAGAAAAATAGGAAATGCATGCCCCCAATATATAAACACTTCACATCCATTTTTCTGTATCCCATTAGTATGCCTAATAAACACATCATTTATGAGTGACTCTAAAAAGCATTTTCTTTCATTTTTTAATCTATTATTTAGGTATTTTTACTAGGATGAAGCAGGAGCAGTTGTTAGAACATTCATTACTCCTTTCAGTTTGACTGATAACTTCTATCTTAACTCTGGGGGAAAAGTGTTGGTGCTTTTCAGTAGGGGACCACTTGGAGAGGTCAACTGACAACTTTTTGGTCAGGCTTTCACTTGAGAATTAATACTCTATTCCCCTTTATAATATGAGGATCCAGTAAAACTGGAAAGGCAAATATTAGCTGGAACATCGCTGTCCTCTCTTATTCACTTGACTGTGGTGTCTCTAAGCAGTGGTGCTAGTCCTTACTCTAATGAATATTGGCAGGCCATTTTAGTAGTAGTTTGCTGATCTAAGTGCTCAAAAATGGGCATCATTTCTTGGCAAGTTTATCTTCAAAATTGCATAAATTGATTGCAAAAGGCATGTATTAATCTCTGAATAAAATCTTTCAGCTCTTTCACTCACACTCTTTCTTCAGTACTGGTTGACTGCCCAGGGTCATTTTACCTTTTTCTCTTCCTCCATCTCAGTCTTTTTGTGGCATCATTCTCTTCCCTTTCCTAGCTTCTCTTTTGCCATATTCATCCTTTTTAATATTCCTTAGCATTTAGCATCTTTATCCCCTTTATTATTTATCTTCTACCACCTCTGTTTCTCTAAGCTCCACCTCTGGACAGTATTCACCATTCTTCACTCCAGTTAGCCCACTTTCCACAGCCTACCCTACCTTTATCACATATTACCACCAACCCTTGGCATTATGTTTTTGACCACAAAAAGTTTGGATATAGACTAATATCTTTTATTTTAACTTCTTTCATTGTCCTGTTAATCACATCCATGTTGGTTGCTTTTTGGACTTGGTATATGGCCAGTGTTTTCTAACATCAGCCTGTCTGTTTTGTTGCAGATTGTGTTCATTAAGTCTCCTTTTCTTGCTTTACTTCCTTATTTTACTACAGAATGTCCTTGGTAGCTTCCTAAGATAGGATGCATAGAAGATAAAACTAGAGTCCTTGCCTATCTAAATGCATCTTTGACATCCTAATCTAACATTGGGTAGGTTGCCTAGATATTGAATTCTAAGGTGAAAATAATTTTCCTCTGTAGATTTGAAGACATTACCTTTTAGTCTCTTCGTTTGCAGTGTTGCTTTTAAGAAATTTGGTGCTTTTCTAATTTGTAATCATTTTTACATTGCTCATGATCTCTCTAGGATCTTTCACATCTCTTAACCTTACTGATCTCTTCATGTGAACTTTCCCCAGGGAAACTTGGTAGGCAATTTGATGTAATAATATTTGCTGCTCAAACATTTTTGTCTAATCAATTTTGCAGCTTTTAAAAATAATATCATCTTCATTTGTTGTTTACATTTTGAGGTATACCTGTTTTTTAGTTAAAAAAATTTAACGTGCATAAAAACACACAAATTGTACATATTTATGGGGTACCATGTGATGTTTTGATACATGTATGTATTGTATAATGTTCAAATCAGGGTAAACCTAGCTAACTTCTCACTTATCATTTCCTTATGGTGAAAACATTCAAAGTCCTGTCTTCTAGTTTTCCCAAATATACAGGAAATTATTCTTATCAGTTGTCACTGTACTGTGCAATAGCACTCCAGAATTTCTTGGTTCTGATTGTAACTTAGTACCTAATGATCAACCTTTCCCTTTCCCTCTCTCCCTCCTACTCACCTCAGCCTCTATTAATTACCATTCTATTCTTGGCTTCCAGGAGATCAGTCAATTAGTAGCCTTACTTACATTTGTAAAGTCCATGTATTATATAAGTCAACAACTTCTTGGTAGCAGTGCTTAGGATATGGAGTCCTCTTGAGGATCTTAATTGTGCCTACCACATGTCTCTGCTATGGTTTTCATTGCTACTGTTATATTTTTATTTCTGAGAGCATGCTGAATGGTGTTTTTCTTTTTTATTGTAGTTTACTTTTGTGTTTGTGGAATATCTCCTTTAGAGGATCTGAATATTAATTGTGTGTGTGTGTGTGTGTGTGTGTGTGTGTGTCTCAACTCTTTGGCCTCCTGTGTCATTTCCTTGTTAACCAAGGTTTTATCTTATTTATTTTGATTTTTATCTCATGTCGAATGCCATCCTGCTCTCCTCAAAGGTCTTCTGACCGTCTGTTTAGATTTCACAGTAAGGCTTGTTCCTTTTCTCATTGTACTGTCTTCCTCTGTGGCTATTTTCTTTTGTAGTTGGACAAAATACCTTTATTTTATTTATTTATTTTTATGTGGTGCTTAGGATTGAACCCAGGGCCTTGCATGTGCTAGGTGAGCACTCTACCACTAAGCCATAACCCTAGCCCTGTGTCTATTTTGATACCAAAGTCACCACTAAATTCCTCTAGCTTGTGAGTCTTTGAGTCTGGAGTGCTGCTTTTTTTCTTTCCTTTATCTTTTTCTTTTTTAAATTTACATTTTAAGCCCTTTATTTCAAGTCATCATGTAACCTTCATAGATGTTATACATTTACATAAACAACAGCATATCTCATTAATTTATTAGTGAAAAATGACCTCGTTTCTCAAAAGCTAAATAAACTTCTGTTTTAGAACTTTGAAAAGCATATGAGTTCTGTTTTGTCTCCTTTGGAGTCTGAGTTGAGGAGCTACATTATGTGAGGGCCCTTACTTTCTGTGCCTCTCACGTTGATCTTCCTCCTCTTTCACCTCTCTTATGCATTTTAAAATTGATACTTGACTCCTGAGACATTTATATTTTGTTAGGCCTCTAATATTAATTTTTGTATTTGTCATTAGGTAAGAATATTAAGATGTCTTCTCTCCCCGTATAGCTAACTAGTTGTCCTAATTCCATATAGTATTCATTGTTGCTTTGTCACTACTATTTCTTTTTTTTTTCTTTCTTTCTTTCTTTTTTTTTTGGTACTGGGTTTTGAACCCAGGGGTACTTTACTGCTTAGCTACATCCTCAGTCTTTTTTTTTTATTTTTTTTATTTTGAGACCGGCCCTTGATAAGTTGCTGAGAGCCTCACTAAGTTGCTGAGGCTGATCTTGAAGTTTTGACTCTTCTGCCTCAGCCTCTCAAAGTCACTGGGATTACAAGAATATGCCACTGTACCTGGGCCTATCACTACCATTTCTTAAAAATATTTTATTACTATAAAGTCTATATAACTATCTGCATTATTTATCATTTTATCTCAATGACTAGGGAACATAATGATTCTAAAATAATATGTATGTAATAAATAAACATATAAATTTAAAACTATGTAATGGTTTTCAAGAGATGGGGACAAGGTACACATAGTTGAATTGTCCCAGTCTTACCATTTATACCCTCCTTGCCTTCAATGGGGTACAAAGGGAGTAATGAGTATCACAGAAAATTATAGGTAAAAAGCATCAATAGTAATTCATGGCAAGGAGAAATTGTATTTAGCTGAGTACACACTTTTTAATGAGGACTTCACAGTGAGAATGGTGTTCTCATTGCTTATTATTGCTAATATACTGAGGACTCCAAAAATTAGTATCTTTATTTTTATCTCGCTCTTTCCTGAGCTTCAGATCCAAATATACAGATTCCCTTCTGGGTATCTGTCTGCTTGGATGTCCAGCAAAACTGACCTTACCTTCCTTCAGGTCCTTGCCCAACATCTTGGAAGGCATTCTTGCCTCTTTCTCCTTCTTCACTCTTTATATAAATCTGTCCTCCTCTTAACTGCACTCTAATTTCTCTGAAAGCTCATTTATAAGTTCTTTGTTTCTACTTCTACAATATTCTTTAGGCCCTTATCATTTTGGTTTTGAATGTCTTGGTCAGAGAGGTCTCTTCTTTCACCTATTTTCCAGAATAAGTACATAAAACACAGATCTAATTACTTGTTCTCTGCTTATTCTTTAAGAGCTTCTCATTACCAAAGTTTGGGCTTCAAGCCTCTTTAATATGGCCTTTGCAGCTTTCCTCTCCCCATCTTTACCTTTTAATCCTACCCCTCAGCCATTGTGTCTTATGTGCTGTTCTCCAAATTGGCCTTTCTTTGCTTAAATAATCCTGATCCCTTTCCCAAGACTCAATGGAATCATCTCACTCACTGTGTGCTTCCATGTGTTCCTTGTAATACCAGTGTCTCATTATTTAACACAGTTCACTGGCAGATAATACTGAACATAAAAAGCATCTAATTTGTTTTTGCTAGCCTGTGCTAAGTACTTTTATGTGTTTTTACCATCTGCGAATGAGATACAGGTTAACTTCTAAATAGTACCATCTTTATGTCCTTTATTTTACAGAGAGCTGCAGGAGAAAATGCTTTGATTCATCGTTTAGAGGAAAGTTGGGCTGCCGGTGTGATGAAGGGTGTAGAGACCGAATGGATTGCTGCTGGGACTTTATAAGCGTCTGTGTGGAATCAAGTATGAGTTTCAAGAAAAACTTATCACCTTGATTGTGTTATCATTAATGCATATCCAAATTTTTACCTACATACCTTGTGTACAAGTTTCCTAGCACTGCCACAACAAAGTACCACAAACCTAGTAGTTTAAAAACCTGCAATCCATTGTCTGGAAGTTTCTGGAAGCTAGAAGTCCAAGATCGAGATATTGGAAGATCTATGTCCTTCTGAAGGCTGTGAGGGATAATCTCTTCTTTGCCAGACCTCTAGCTTCTGGTGGGTTGGTGGTATTCCTTCGCTGATAGTGGCACAACTCCAAACTCAATTTTCATCTTCACAAAATCTGTGTCTTTTCACACAGTCTTGTATCTGTGTGTATCTGTATCCAAATTTCTCCTTTTTATAAGAACATCAGTCATACTAGATTAGGACCAACCTTGATGATTTCATTTTACTTGATTATCTGTGTGTAATCTGGACACATTTCCAAATAAGATCACATTCAGAGATATTGGAGGTTAGGACTTCAGCATCTTTCTAGGAGCACAATTCACTCCATACCACCTTTTATACAGAGTCTGTTACTACCAATCACCCTTTACAGATCAACAGAGTCCACACTTTAGTTGATTGAAATAAAAGGACAACTATCTACAGGATGAAATGCCATGTAATTATGTAAATCCCAGTGGATTTTACTATAGCTTGAGATAAACATCTTAGTTTCATTTGCAGTTGGTTTTAAATTTCAAGGTTCTTAAGATTTGAAAATTATAATTCTTAATCATTCTGCTGCCAGCACTTCTCAAAGCACAATTTGAGAAACACTATCCACCAGATAGAAGACATAGTTTTAGTATTTAATTCTCTAAATAGTCAGGGAAGGTGGAGGGCAGCTAGTGGTTGGATAAGAGTGAAGATTGGAATAGTAGAATTCTTTACATTATGTTTTCTGAAAAGTGTAAAAGGGAGGGGATAACTCTCTATAGATAGCTATCTGTACTCCCTTTACTTTATCTCCCCAGATCTCTTCTTTCTAAGTAATAAATGACTGGGAATGAAGAACTCTATGCACAGTGGACACACCCAGCATTCACCTATCCAACGTGTTTGTTTAAGCACAGGCTGATGTTGATTTTAGTCATTGTTTCCTAGCAGGTGGCAATGGGAAACAGCTTTCCTTCAGCTTCATGTTGATGTTAGCAATGGGATTTATTTAAACTTCTCTCACACTAAGTACAAAGCCTGGAAGAACACCAAAGGTGTAGTTGGAGTTGTCCCACCACTTCTATCTGACTTGCCTGTGGCCCTAAAGACATGAATGATATGCTCCTTGAATTATTATCACCACTGTCTCTTCCTAGCTGGCTGTCCTTAGACAAGGCTGGACAAAGCTGCTCTTGGGTAGCCATGACTCGTCAAGACTAATGGAGTTTCACCATGGGAAATTTTTACCCTTGGGTGGAAATAGGACCCATGTTTAGAGCTTTTCTAAACTCAGAGTGCATCTGTGAGGGGATCAGGGTTGCAGCTTATAGGGCTGCATTTATCTCTGCCCTCATGCTAAGGAATAGATTGCTTCTTCTTTAATATGTTTTCATTTGTTAATGCAGATAACACAAGAATTTGACTGTTTTATAAAAACACATGGAGAAATGCATCAAATTTGTACCTTTTGAATTGGATACTTAAGATAAATGCCCAGAACTGAATTGCATAATTTTACAGCTCAAATATGGTCATGCAGTTCATCTCGTTGTGGGGAAAGCAGAAAGGTGGCCAGTCTTTGCTCCTGTGCAGAGGACTGTTTGCTGAAGCGAGACTGCTGTGCTAACTACAAGAGTGTTTGCCAAGGTAAGCAGAAGGATGTTGATGGATTTGCTTCTGAGTTCAGTGGAACCCTGAGTTTTCTAGAGCTATCCTGGGCTGCAAAAATGAAAAGTCAGATAATTTTTAGTTACTACTCCATATATCAAAGAAATGATCAAATATGTTTACTATGGGAGGAAATATGGTTTATACACAATAGAGGAAAGGAAACCATCACAAGGTATAGAAAAGACAGGAAAAAGCTTATACTTCTTTGTCTTGGAACTAAGATCATTTTCATTCCAATGACCATATTAGATACACTTGTGGTACGAGATATGGGATGGCACGTTCTAAACATACAGGATGGCAGGTCAAAACATACAGCAAGATTTTATCTTTTATTTAAAATTTTATTTGTTATTTTTAGTTATATATGACAGTAGAATCTATTTTGATATATTTATAAAAACATGGTATGTATCTTATTCTAATTAGGATCCCAGTCTTGTGGATGTACATGATGTTGAGATTCACTGTGGTGTATTCATATATGTACATAGGAGAGTTATGTCAGATTCATTCTACTGTCTTTCTTATTCCTACCTCCCCTCCCTTCTCTTCATTCCCCTTCAACAGAAAGAGTTAATCTAGCTGTCTATTTCTACTAGTGTTGAAATTTATCATTACCACTCTTTGGTTAATCCAATGGGGTTAATTTAATAAGTTTAGTTTATTTTAAATATAAATGTAAATGTTTTCTTACTCTAAGGATTCCATTCCTTAGACTGAAAAATGTTAACTGTTTTTGGTCAAAATTGTATCTCCAGAGATATTGAGGGAATTTGTATCATTTTTTTGTTTTAATCACAAAACACGACTATAACAAGCTAATTACTTTTATATTTTTAGTTAAACTTAGAATTTTTAAAAACTTTCTGATATATTTCTACCATTTGCAGAGATAGAATAGCATGATGTTTTTCTCACAAAAAAAAACATGTTTAGTCATGGCCAAGTCTATCTCATGTTGACAAAACATAATTTTCAAAAAGATAACATGACTTTAAGATAAATGTAAAGTGAGCAAGTCAAAGATTTACTAACTCTTAATGAGATAGCCAACTAGAATGTAAAGCCTGTTCAAAGAGAATCAAAGAGATTAAATGAATAGAGGACTGAAAGAAAGTTGGAAAAAAATCACTAAAATTCTAGCTTTTGGTATGATAGAAATTATTTGTGCTTCTACAGAAAAATCTATTTGCTATCAAACAAGATTCAATTGTTGTTTATTGCTGCTTGTTTTCTATTAACTACAATTCTCATTGAGTTGTAAAATGAGTAATAATGAGTAATCTAGATAAAGATAATACACCTAGGTAATTAAATAAACATAGATAAGCTTTTTAGATAATTTCAAGCTTTACATTAATACAAAATCTAGTGATTAGTCCTACTTTTGCCTGTTTCTTTTGGGAGTTTTTCTTAACAAAATATACTCCTCATTTTCCTCCACTTCTCTTTCAAAATTTTAGATCATTTCAAAGCAAATACTAGAGTTAACATCATTCATTTGCAATTAGTTTCAGAATGTATGTAAAAAAGATAAGGATTTAACAAAATTATGATACCATTCATTCACCTAAAAACATCATTAATAATTAATTACGGTCATTGAATACCCAGTGTTCAAATTCTTCTCCTTGTCTCCTAATATTTTTTTAAAAGATTGAAGCAGGATCCAAATAGATGCTATTTATTACAACTGACTGATATATTTTAAGCCCTTTAAAAATATATGCTTCCCTCTTCTTTTTCCCACTTGCAATTGGAGAAATGGGGTCATTTTTCCAATAAAATTTTCCATTCTAAATTTTGCTGATTGCATCCTTTGTGATTTAAGAAATTTATCATACCATACATTTCCTGAAAATTGGTAGATCCAGAGGACTGTTGAGATTAAGATGTAATTTATACATTTCTTTCTTTCTTTCTTTTTTTGCAAGTTACTTTGTACATGACAGTGCTACTTCCATCCAGAGGTCCATCATGTCTACTTGTGTTGTTTTGGGAATATTAGACATTGAAAATTATTCCTAGATCCATTCAGGGTTGCAAATGGTGACATTCATCCTCTATCATTTCCACTTTATTATTTAGCTGGAATGCACTAAAAGGAGAAATATCCATGAAGCAAGAACTTTTTTGTTGTTGTTAAGATTTTAATCATTTGTTAAATTTTGCCCACTTGATATAATTATTTCCACTAGTTATTTCTTTTTCCATGTATTCTTTTCTCTAGATTGTATATTTATATTTATTAAACTGACTTATTTTAGCAGCTTCTAGAGAAGATATTGTCTATGGGGAGGTAGGGAATTTGAAAAATTGTTAACCAAAAAAAAAAAAAAAAGGAAATGTCCCTTTATAGCTGAAGGAATCCCTGGTTTTTTTTCCTCAGTAGATTGGCTTCCTGGCATTCAATTGGTACAGATTATGGATCTCTGCAAGTTATTATTGGCACAGTCCTTGCCAACTTGTGAAATAACAACTTATATGTTTTGGAAGAATTTAGTTATTGGAGTGACACTATTAAGCAGTTCAGGAAGATCATGTCCACTGAATACTTGCTTCCCTTTTTTGTGTGTGGTACAGTAGTCTGAAGATTTTGATCTTCTGCTCTGCAGGAAAAACTTCTTGGGTGGAAGAAGGCTGCACCACAGCTGAGCAGACTCAGTGTCCAGAAGGGTGAGCACGAGTGATGTTGGGAATTTCTTTTCTTTGATAGCTGGCACATGGGACAGTAATTGAGAAACAGAGTGGCATTTCCTTTATTTATTTTTCAAAACAGAATAGTTTAAAAAAGATTGGATTCCTTGTGGATTCAAAGACAATAGACTTGTTGGCTTTAACATTTTCAAAGTTCTTTATGTTAATTTAGTATATTTATGGTTCCCAACATTGACTTAAAAGTTGGTTAGAATATTAAGTAACATTCCCAAGGTTCTATGGTTAGTACTGGAATTTAGATTGAAAATACTTCTGCTAGAACATTTTTCTGTTAATATCTTGGCACTATGAATTTCTTCTTACTGAGGGATGGGGACGAGGTTCACAGAAGGTCATATAGGATAAGGAAGATCCTATAATATGGATGAGGTGGGCCTCATTGAGTGAGCACAGGTAAAGAACATGTGAGGTTAATACCCTCCGCCTCACAGCCATTCAACCCATGCTTCTCCTTCATATGTTTATGACAGCTGCTTGCACAGCTTTTCCCAGGTTTGAAGATGTCCAGAATGCCTCCAAGCAGGGGTATATTTTCATTCCTTTCTTTGTCCACCATGCCCTTCACACTTTTCTGGGCCCAGCAATGGAAGCATGACAGTGAGGTGGAAGAAGAAGTAAGAAGTATACCTGATTTTAGGAAGAATTGGCTGAACACATAAAAAATAGCATTATTTCATTTAAAAAATGTGTACAGAACCATACAGTGGCCTATTTCCAACTATTTAGAGACTGAGGCACAGAGATTGCTTGAGCCCATGAGTTTAAAGTGAGCCTAAAAATTTGGGGAAGGAAGGCACAGGTTGTTCACATTGAACGTACATTGGCAATGAAAAAGACTGGAGAGATTAAGCAGAGTGTCAACCTTTAGAGCAGGAGGGCAATCTACTTGCTGTTTCTGGAATAGGAGGTGGGGTTTGCAAGTAGGATGTGTTGGCACCTAGGGGGTTGGGATGGAATTTGAGTTAAAAGTTTTAACATACATTCAGGAATGTAAAACGGACTTTTCTTCTGCTTGGCATATAGCTCGTTAACTAATTAACCTCCCATCTGTAGGGCCTTTCATCCTTGCAATTAAATTTAAGAATCTTAAGAATTTTTTCTTATTGATGGATAAAATGCATCTGTTTTTGTACCATGCTACTTTGGTTTGTCCCAATCCTCAGATCTAGCTGTCTTCTTTAGCAGCTTATGCGTGGAAGAGCAAAGGATTTAGAATAAAAAAGAGATTTGAGTTGGAGTTCTGGTTTTGCCTGTGGGTCTTGGCAATAGTAACTTCTCTGAGCTTCATATATAAAATTGAATAATAATAATAATAATGCCAAGTTCAGAAGATTTCATGTGAGAATTAAGTGGTCTAAGAAAGTGAAAATATTTGCTACCTTCTAAAACAATAGTCTAACTTTAATTCTGGTGTATGGTACACACTAGTTACTCAAAAAGTTAATATTTTTCTAGTGGGATTCTTCTTTAGTCACTTATTTTATTTAGATGAACCTGACATTTTAACCTATTAAGTTGTTCCCAGAACTAATTAGCATAGATTCAGACGGACTTTTCTCAGGGTCCAAATTACACTGACAATTCATCTCTGACAAAAGCATAATAATGATAACAGGTGGGCTGGGGATGTAGCTCAGTGGTATAGCGCAGGCTTAGCATGCATGAGGTCCTTGGTTTCATTCCCAGTACTAAAATAATAATAATAATAATAATAATGATGACAGCTAATATTTATATAGTTCTTATGAGGTACTGGTACGTACTTTACACAGAGTCATTTTTCATGTTATATTATTCCTATAAAAATCCTGTGAAGTAGGCTCTATTATCTATATTCCATGCCATGTCATTCATTTAATAAAATGGAGGCATATAGCTGTGAAGCACCTTGCCCCCAGTTTACACTGCTATGATTGCTGGAGGCAGGAAGTCAACTCTGGGAGCAAGGCCCTAGAGTCTCTGTGGCTTGGTGCTTCTCTCAAATGATAGTCTGAAGCTGCGGCACTGTGCAACTGACAGAAGAGGTAGAGGGGAAGAATTTTTTGTGTGTATGACCCTAAGACTCTCCCTCTTATTGATATTTGGAAGAAGATAGACCCTTCTTGCTGGACATTTAAATAGCATTTCTGTTTGCTTGTTTGTGTGTCTTATTATTTTACTAGTGATCCAAGTATAGTAAGAAATTGTGGGCTCTTTTGTCAGGCTGATGTAGACCAATAGCCTAGCTCTATCTCTCCTGGCAGTGGGAAACCTTGGGTAACTTATTTGATCTTCTCTGTCTCACTGATAAACTAGAGGTGTGTCCCAATTCTATTGGTTTTTTTTTTTTTTTTTTTTGCTAATGGTGATGTGAAATAATAGGTGCAAGATGACAATTCTTGTATATGGAGTGCCCTTATTCAAGCTTCATTGTAGATAATAAAAGTAATGCAGATGTAACAATCAACTTTACTGGAAATTAGAGCAATTAAAATGAAAGGAAGTTAACCAATTCATTCCATAAAATTATCAATACACCATTATTTGTACAAAGTAACAGCCATTTGTCTTGATTTTGGAAGAACAAATTGATAAAAACTGCCATGAAGAGAATCATGACAAAATATTTTAGTCTCCTTTGAGAATTTGTCCTTATATCAGAAAATTTCATCTTTAGCAATGTAGCCTGAGGAGATAATTAAGGCTGTTTGAACTACAAGGACATTCATGGTAGCAGTGTATAAATGTGCTCTGGAGCTCTGAGTAGCAAGCTTAGAGAGGCAGGGAGGACATTAAGAAAGAGATGTACTAGATCTTTGGATCCCACCTGTGGTCCCATGGATGGTTGACCTTGTCTTTAAGTTGTAGGGTTATTTTTGTGGGGGTGTTAAGGGGTTACTGGGGATTGAACTTAGGGGCACTCCACCACTGAGACACATCCCCAGTCCTATTTTGTATTTTGAGACAGGGTCTCACTGAGTTGCCTAGAGCCTCACTTATGCTGATGCTGGCTTTGAACTTGCAATCCTCTATAGGGTTATTTTGATAACACATTTGTGAACATAAAATTTTAATCAGAATTATGCCAAAGACTGAAAAAATAGATAATTTCTAATGTAAATTACACCAGGACACTTAGTTTTTTGATGAAATTACTTCATGTTGTAGTTCATTATTTAATTTTTAAATTCTTACATATAATTCATACATAATGCTCATATCTTAAGTGTATATGTTGAAATGCTCACATCTTTTAAGTGTTTGGAAATTCCCTATAATCTAATATTTGCAAGATAGAGAATATTTCCCACCATCACAAAAGGATGCTTTATGTCTCTTTTCACCCTCTACTCCCCCAAGGCAATCCCTGTTCTGATTTCTATCACTATAGATTCCTGTTTTAGAACTTCATACCAATGGAATTATACCATATGTTCTCTTGTGTCTGGCTTTTTTAGGTTAATCCAATGATTTTTTAAAAAAATTGTTAGTTGTAGATGGACACAATGATCTTATTTATTTATCGTTATGTGGTGCTGAGGATCAAACCCAGGGTCTCCCATGTGCTAGGCAAACACTCTACCACTGAACTACAACCTCAGTCCAATCCAGTGATTTTTGACACTCACATGTTGTTGCACGTTTTGAATCTCTCAGATGGGCTTCTGCACAGAATATATCCCTGATTAAAACATTAGTCCCGTTTTCAAGTTATTTTTGTTAGTTCTTTGGGACTTAGCTCATGTCACGCCTCCTGGAAAGCCTGCTCTCACCTTACAGAGCTTGAGTTTGACATCCTTCTATACACTTGAATCACAACCTGTACTCAAATCTAGCCCTCAACTACCCTGTTTTACTTTTGAATTTTATACCCTAGACAAGGACTGCAACTCCTCTCTGCCTCTTTTTCTAAGCATCTAGCAGAATGTCTGACTCAGATATTTGTTAAATGAAATACTCTACAATAAATGTGTAATCTGAGAAGTTTAATAGACCTTTTCTTTAGATGCTTCTCACAATTTATTTTGCAGTGTGAAATTAAATGGAGACACTGTTTTTTTTTCCTTTAGCTTTACTCAAGCATGTCTAAAGCACAGACATAACTGTCTAATTTTTATTTGGCGTAGGCATTCAGAACTTTCTTTTTCATCATATTTAGGTAATTTATCATAAATTTAAGACGTATTCTAGCCAAAATTTTTAGGCAAGTATGTTTGTATGTTTTTATTAGAATTTTATTTGTATAACTGCTTGAGCAGAGTTGAAAATAATTTCTTTTGTATATTCCTTTGTGTTCATTGTATTTGGAATTTAAAACAAATTTACTCTGTTCATATCTGCTATTCATAGTAGCCCCAATTTGGAAAACACCCTGTTAAACATAGAATGAATAAGTTTGTGGTCTGTTCATGCACTGGAAAAATGATCTTTAACTATATGCAACAAGATGGATTAATCTCAATCATAATGTCAAGTAAAAAAAAAACAGACTTGAGGCTGGGACTGTAGCTCAGTGGTAAAGCGCTTGCCTCTCACATGTGATAAACTGGGTTCCATCCTCAGCACCACATAAAAATAAAGATACTCTATGTTCATCTACAACTAAAAAAATATTTTAAAAAATCCAGACTTAACGAAATGTATACTGTGTCATTCAATTTACATGTAAATGTCAGTACAAAAGTAGGTACAATTAATTATGCTGTTAGAAGTCAAGATATTGCTCATCCTGCTTGAGGCTGTGGTTTGTGGAGTTTACTGACTAGAGGGAAGCACCAGGGGCAACTTTGGGGTGCCAGTGATGTTGATCTTGGTGATGTCAACATGGCTGAGTTCAGTTAGAAAAAAATTATCAGGATATACATACACCTGTGAATATGTGTGTGTGTGTGTGTGTACGTGTGTGTCATATGGATAAAACTCAAAGACAGTGAAAAAGTATTAAATTAAACAACAATAACAATAGCCTTTAGCTATAATCCAAAAGCCAGCTTTAATCATTTTACCTTAACTACCAGTCTAAAAAGAAGAGATTGAAATGCTTTTGAGGAGTATGTTAATATTCTGAGATATTAGAATACAAAGTCAAATATGTAGAACTTTAAGATAAAACATCTCCTAAACATTTTTCTAAATTTCATAACATAATTGCATTGAAATTCAACGGTTCCTACTCGACTCTGAACTTTTCTTACTCTCCTTTCTAAGCATTTTCTAATTCAGAGAATTACAAGTAGTACTGAAAAGTATATTTTTGTTTTTATCAATTAAAATCATGGATAAACTTTTTGTTTTCCATTTTCAGGTTTGACCTGCCACCTGTTATCTTGTTTTCCATGGATGGCTTTAGAGCTGAATATTTAGACACATGGAGTATTTTAATTCCTCATATCAATAAACTGAGTAAGTCCTTTGCAGTTAGTAGAATGTGAATGATAAACACCTTGTCAGCAAATCCTTAGATGAAGCAACTTTCTTTCTGACCTTTAGCATTGGTGGATTGTCTTATCCCAGGTCCTTTCAGTGCTTGATGTTTTTACCACACATCTATGTATTTCAGTAGGAGGGATTCTCATGGTTTGTGGATCCTCATACTTTTCTTTGGCAGCATGCTCATCTTTTTTAATTTATTTGTTTCACATTTGAATATAACTTATGTGCTTTGGAAATTTGTTTGTGTATACCATTTCTAAAGTGGCATTTGTCAGAACTGGGTTCTGAGTCTCAGCAGAGGACAGAAGTCTAAAGGAGCTTAGGAGAACTGGACAGATCCAGCGTCTACTAATATGCCCCTAGATCCTCTGAAATACAGGATCTCCTTCCAGTTCTGGAATCAAACTTCCTAGAAACTGACTCTATCTTTTACCAACTGTGTGATCTCAGGCAAGTTTACCTTACCTTTTTCATTCATAATATGTTATCTTGTTTTCCATGGACCTATATACTACCTTATAGATTTACTGTGAGAACATTCAATGGCTTTACATCATTTTAAGTTTTGTTTTTATTATCATCTTTATCACAACACTGTGTTTCTGCATCAGGGCACTTGGCTCTGCACACACTTGATAAAGTAATAATAAAAGGAAGTTGAGTGCCCAGGGACACAACCAGAGGGCCAGCTCCAGGGCCCATACTATTTATTCCCTGCACTTCTTCTCTTTGTCTCTCTTCACCAAGACCCTCTTTTATTTCCAATGTTCTCCATTTTTGTAATGATTTGATTGACTTAAAGTTTTTATTTTTCTCCAAATGATTAAAAACAACTTGATATTGTTTGACCTTGAGTAAGTCACTGAATTTTCTGGGCTTCATTTCCCTCGCTCATAAAATTAGAGGACTAGGTCTAATACTAATGTTTTTATCTGTTAATTCCAGCTCTAAAATGCCATGATTATAAAAAGATTATCTACTTTTTTTCCTGAAAAACAAGGTGCATTATGTCTTCAGCTTCTCTCTTACTCTCTGAGGCAGGTCTTTAGCAAAGAGATGGAGAATTTTCCAAATCCAGGACTTGCACTTACTGTTAACTTACTTTGGCCTGAAAAGTTAACTATTTCATTATCTAAATTTGTCTTGATAATCTGAATATCTAATCCTATGTTCAAAAGGGAATTTAATAGCCAGGATGAACTGAAATTCTTTTCAAATGGAATTGTTTGATTTTTCTCATTCCGTCAAGAATTAGAAATGACATCAATTAAATATTTGTCCATTGAGAGCTTTCCTATTTCTGATTTCTGAAATATGTTTTTAGACATATAGCCATTATCTCAATCTGCAAATGCATGAAGAAATTACTGTGTAGGTCTCCCAAGGCAAACTAATCTCCGGTTCCTTTGTAGAATGTCCAGTAAAACATGATAGAATAGAATTGGGATAGTGAGATTTGTCATAGAAGGTGTCAATGATAACCAAGTCTCCAGTGCTCCATCTCTAGTGCCCCTTCAAGCTTCCATTGGTGGACTACAGTGGTTATAAAAACTGAGCATGAACTAATACTAAGGGAAGTGAGTCATATCAGTAACTACTAAGTGTATGAGGATGTGGCTCTCAGAATTACATTCTAAGAGGTAACCATATTTATTGTCTCAGTGTGATTGGCAGCAGATATTGAAGGGCCAGAGCCAAGATCAGAAAACTGTTTTGTCATCCTAGGGATTAAATCCAGTTTTATATATGCTAAGAGAGCACTCCAGCACTGAGCTATATCCCAACCCTTTTTATTTTATTCTGAGACAAGTTCATACTGACTTGTCCAGGCTGGCCTCAAATTTATAATCCTCCTGCATTAGCCTTCCAAGTAGCTGGGATTACAGGCAACGCCACCATACCTGGCAATTTTGGCTACTTTAGATACCTTCATATGAGTGGAATTATGTGGTATTTTTTGTTTTTTTGATTGATTTATTTTACTTAATATAACATTCATCCATATGTTGCACATTACAAAATTCCTTATTAAAGACTGAATAAAATATTTCATTATATGTATAAATAAAAATATTTATAAGTAAACATATGTATAAGTATTTATAAATATACCTAATGTAAATAAATATACTTACTTATGTATGTAAACTATATTAATAAATTATAAATAAATATGGTTGTTTATTTATACATATATATCACATTATTACTGCTATTATTTTGTCTATTTATCATTCATCTGTCAATAGACATTTAGGTTACTTCTATATTTTGACTATTCCGAATAGTTCTGCAATGAACAGGGTAGTTACTGATATCTTTTCAAGATTCTGATATCAGTTAACATGCAGAGTTTTAGAGATTAATTAACAAGTTCTCCATTGCAAGTACCATTTGCTCTGTCTTCTATTTTATTTTAATGAGAACAGTTACTGAGATCTGCCCTTTTAGAATTTTAAGTGTATAATATAGTATTATTATCTATAAGCACAATGGTATAGCTATCTATCTAAATCTATATCTATATCTATAGATATATATATCCAGAAGTGGGATTATTGCATCTTATGGAAGTTCTATTTTTAATTGTTTGAGGAACCTCCATATTTTTTCCTTAGCAGCTATTTTTGCATTCCCACACAGTGTACAAGATTCCAATTTCTCCATCCTCCTGGCAACACATATTGTCTTTTTATTGAAAAGTATCTGAACAGATGTAAGGTGAGATTTCATGTAGTTTTATTTGCATTTTCTTGGTAATTAGTGACACTGACATTTTTTATATACTTCTTGGCTATTGTATGTCTGCTTTAGAGAAATGCGTAGTCAAGATCTTGCCCATTTTTAAAGGTGTGTTCATTTTTTTGATATTGAATTATAGGAATTACTCATAAATTTTTGATATTAACTCTTATCAGATATATGATTTGAAAATATTCTGTCCCATTTCATATGTTGCCTTTCCTCTCTATTGATCAGTTCTTTGCTATGTAGAACTTTTAAGGTTGATATAGTCCAACTTGTCTAATTTTGCTTTTGCTGCCTATGCTTTTGGTGTCATATCCATGAAATCATTGCCAAGATTACCATTATGTTTCCTTCTAAAAGTTTCACAGTTTTGGGTTTTACATTTAAATCCTTAATCCTAATTTGAGTTGATGCTCTTGTTTAGTATAAAGGATTCAGGATCATTCTTCTGCATGTGGACATCCAATTTTCTAACACATTGTTTGAAGATATATCCTTTCCCCATTGTGTTTTCTTGGCATGCTTGCTGATGATCATTGACCATACACACATGGATTTGTTTTGGGGCTCTCTATTCTGTTTTATTGATCTATATGTATATCTTTGTGCCAGTGCCATACTATTTTCATTACTGTATCTTTGTAGTGTATTTTGAGAACAGGAAGTGCAATGTTTCCAGTTTTTCTTTTCTTTTTTTGAGATAGTTTGGCTATATGAGGTCTTTTATGGTACATATACATTTTAGAATTTTACTTTCCAGTTTTGTAAAAAACAACATTGTGTTTTTTTTTTTTTTTCTGGTGCTGGAGATTGAACCTGAGACTTGTGACCATTGTGATTTTGATAGGGATTGCATTGAATCTGTAAACACTGACCATTGTGATTTTGATAGGGATTGCATTGAATCTGTAAACACTTTGGAGTAGGATGAATATTTTAACAATAATAAGTCTCCCAGCCCATGAACACTAGATGTCTTTCCTTTTGTTCAGTCTTCTTTAATTTCCTTCTCTAATGTTTTGTAATTTTCACTCTACAAGTCTTTTATTACTTTAAGTTTGTTCCTAAATATTTTATTATTTTATACTATGATAATTGGGATTTTTCTATTTTTTTTTTCAGATAGTTCATTAATAGTGCATAGAAACCAAACTGATTTTGTATCCTGCAACTTTGCTAAATTCTTTTATTGGTTCTCAGAGCTGGGGGGAAGTCTTTAGAGATTTTATATATTATATAATGTCATCTGCGCATAGGGAAATTTTGTTTATTTTTTCCTATTCAGCTTTCTTTTATTTCTTTTTCTTCTTTAATTACCCTGGCCAGGACTTCCATTATTATGTTGAATAGAAGTAGAGAGAATGTACATTCTTGCCTTATTTCTGATCTTAGTGGAAAAGCTTTCTGTTTATAACCATTGAGTACCATGTTAGTCAATTTTACATTGCTATAACCAAAACACCCATCAGAACAAACTTAGAGGAATAAAAGTTTATTTTGGACTCATAGTTTCAGAGTCAGTTGACTCTATCACTTTGGGTCTGGGTGAGGCAGAACACCACGATGAAAGGATGACAGAAGAAAGCTACTTACCTCATGGCAGCTAAAAAAGAGAGATGGAATCACAGTGTAGTTTTAATTTGCATTTCTCTAGTATCCTTATATATGAACACACAACCAGGGTAACTCCACATCATGTACAACCACAAGATTAGGATCCTAATTAGAATAAGTTATACACCATGTATGTATAATATGTCAAAATACACTCCACTGTTGTGTTTATTTAAAAAGAACAAATAAAAATAAAATAGAGATGTGAATAGAAAAAAATTGAAGGGAGAGAAAGAGCTGGGAGGACAAGATATATAATCCCCAGGGCATGCTCCCAGTGATCCACATCCTCCAGCCATGCCCCACCTGCCTATAGTTACTACCTAGTTTGTCCATTCAAATAATTAATCCAGCAAATGGATTAATCCACCTGTTAGGTTATAGTTCTTATAATCTAATCATTTTACCTCTGAATACTCCTGAGTTAACAAAGGAACACATCTCATATTCAAGTCATAACTAGTAGGATGTTAGCAAAGGGATTTTCCTATATGGACTTCATCATGTTGAAGTAATTTCTCTCTATTCCCAGTTTGTTCAGAGTTTTTATCATGAAAAGATGTTGAATTTTATCACTTTTTCTGCATCTATGGATGTGATGTGAATTT